TAGTAGTAGTAGTAGTAGTAGTAGTAGTAGTAGTAGTAGCAGCAGCAGTAATAGTGCTAGTAATAGTACTACTACTAGCAGTAGTGTTGGTAGCCATATATAACAAGCGGTGACGTTGACCATTAGCGGAGATTCGTGCCGGGCGCGAGTAATTCATTCGCAAGCAATTATCACTTCATGTCTTCGTCTCGACACAAAGTGCAAGCGCTCTCTCTCTCTCTCTCTGCGGTGCAAGTCAACATACTTTCTCTGTTAGCACATGGCGGGGGTTTTCACACGAAGCCGCCGGAATTTCGATGGCAACGAATTTACGATTCTGATCGGGCGACGTTTTTTTCTGTTCCGCCTCGGGTCGAGCGAAATTTGTAGCGGGAAGCTCTAGTCAAATTCCGATCAGAAATGTTTGTCTAATTTTCGACAGATTTAGGATTCGCCGTGTGTCGTGCTTATATATATAGCGGCGTAGTGCAGTAACGACGGAGGCGAGTGTGCGCTGTGAGGAAATGGCGGGCTGATGGGTATAGCGTTTTCTAGATTGTATATTTCTAAAAACACGTTCGTATTTTTCTAAAAAGAGTTTTCTAAGAAATAAACACGTTAAACGTAATAATATAGCATAATAAAATAACATGATTTTTTTAAGAACAAAAACACGTTCGTATCGGCGCTGTCATCGCTCGACTCGCGTGTGAAATTACAGATTCTCCCATGCGACGCGAGAAATTACATTCCTCGCTAACGCTTCTTCGACGAAGAAGAAAATATTTTAGTATAATTATTAAACGTTCGAACGTGCATGGTCGTCAGTGACGTAATAAAATACAAAACCGCAGAAAAAAAACATACGTTTGTGGGATAATTTACACTGTGGACTTCATGATCCTTACTCATCTATATAGACACATCGCATTCACGGGCGAGATTTTCGCGTTTTTTTTTTTACAGATTTTGTCCTTCGATGGTAATTTATGTAGGTATTTATGGAAAATTTCCTTCGCATCCGACAGATAAATGCCCAACGGGTTGTTTTTAAAGTGTACCAGTAGCGTTTTCCTAATCCGTCAATCGCAGCATGACGAGATGATATGGCGACGCGGCGAACATAACAAATTATGGTAATTTGTTCGAAATAAATCATCGGATTGCCTCGTAAAATAAAATATACGACGTGCTTGTTAAAGCCAATTTTATAATACTCGTAAAGCGAGCTCTGTATGATTATGCGCGTGCGTGCGTGCGTGCGTGCGTGCGTGCGTGCGCGCGTGCGTGTGGATGTGTGCGCATACATATATATATATATATGTGTGTGTGTGTGTGTGTGTGTGTGTGTGTGTGTACGCGTGTGTTTGTGTGCACGTGGGCCGCTGTATCACAATCATGACGCAAGCTAATATATATATATATATATACTGTTATACTGATTTCTATGCTTGAACATCATTAGCTCGCATTTAGTCCGCCTGTCACGTGAGAAGCCGAGCACAAAACGTGGCTGCAGCCGGCATCATAACAGTCTGTTATATATCATCTCCCATATCTCAGATATCAAGGATTATTATATTATTTATTACCTCCGCCAGGGGCTTGGCGGAGGTTATGTTTTCACCGGCGTGTGTTTGAGTGTTTGGTTTGTGGGTTTGTGAACATGCACGTTTCAGTTCACTTCCGCTAGGTGCGCTGGCTGTAGACTTACAAACACGCAACCACAGGCTAAGGGCAACCACAGTCCTCCCCCACCTGCACGCTCGCACTCAGCGACACATCTATCAATCTATAGGTTTGTTTGTGTACAGCCGAACTGAACAAGTTATGGACGGATTGTCATAAATTGATGAGATTTTGGTGTGATCCGGATCCAATTAATAATTAATTAATTAATTAATAACATTTTCAGGATAGGTCAGAAATGGGTAACTTAGAATGATTACATTTGTGGGTGATCCGGATCCAATTAATGTAATTAAATTTCAGGATAGCGTCAGAAAATCGGGTAACTTAAGAATTGATTACATTTTGGTCGTCATCCGGATCCAATTAATTAATAAATTTTTTTCACAGTGACAGAATTCAGCTGCCTTGGCGGAGGTCTGTGCTCTCCGAGTGCTCTAGTTATAAATATTACAGTCTGTAATATATATATATACATATTATTGCAGATTTATAATTATATAATCATTTAATATATATATATATATACAATGGTTTCTCGTTGTTTAACATGCGAGTTAACCCTCTCCCCCCTCCTACCTGCCCTCCACCACCACCGTACCTGACGTAGGTCATCCTCATCCTGCAGGTGTTTCGCGATGTACTGAATTCCCTCATCGCTCTCTCTCATACACACACACACACACACACACACACACACACACACACACACACACACACACACACACACACACACACACACAACACCACCGACCTGACGTAGGTCATCTTCATCCTGCAGGTGTTCGGCGATGTACTGAATTCCCCTCATCGCTCTCACGACGTCGTCCGGGTAGGGCTTGAAGCGCCGCGAGTCCGCCTTGCTTTGATCTCGCTCCGACTGAGAGATTCGTATGAAGCGCGGACTGCCGAGCGATGACGACGGACTAGAGAAGAGAGAGAGGGGGATGTGTTTATATGAGTGCGCGCGCGTGAGAGAGAGAGAGAAAGAGAGAGAGAAAGAGAGAGGTAGAGAGAGGGGGAGAGAGAGAGGAGAGAAAGAGAGAGATGGAGAGAGAAATAGAGAGAGAGAGAGAGAGAGAGAGAGAGAGAGAGAGAGAGAGAGCGAGAGGAAAGAGTGGGAAAGAGTGGGAGAGAGAGACAAAGAGAGAGAGAGAGAGTCAGAGAGAGAGAGAGAGAGAGAGAGGGGAGAGAGAGAAGGAGAGGGAGGGAGAGAGACAGAGAGGGAGAGAGAGAGGAGAGAGAGGGAGAGAGAAAAAGAAAGAGAAAGAGAGAGAGAGAGATAGAAAAGAGAGAGAGAGGGAGAGAGAGGGGATATGCTCACATGAAAAGCCGATGCAGAAATCGATGAGCAGATCGCTGCTAAGAAATGTTTACGTACCTAACGTACGCCTTGCTCACGTGAGAGAGAGAGAAGAGAGGCAGACAGAGAAGGACAGAGAAAAATAGAGAGGGAAGGGGAAGAGAGATTGGGATGAAAGAGAGAGATATATATAGTGGGAGAGGGAATAAGAAAGGGAAGGGAGAGGGGTGGAGGGGAGAGGAAGAAAGCGACGAGAGCGAGAAGAGAGCGAGAGAGAAGAAGTCGCCGAGAAAGAAGAGGTAAGAGAGGAGAGAGAGAGATAGATAAACATGATCTGCTGTCTTAATACAACCTCGCGAGCGGAGGCGGGGCGGGCGCGGGAGGAGAAGAGGAGAGCAAGGAGAGAGCAGAAGGAAAGAACGAGGAAACCCCCACCCTCCAACTCTCTGCCCACCCCTCCCCAACCTGATACGCTTCATCTCGCGAAGTCGAGCCCGCTTGCAAGCCCGGAAGCTTCGTCTTCGTCGTCGGCTGTCGGTTTCGCTCGTCGATCGTCGACGATGAGATAGCCAGACGCGCAGCATTGTTATAGGAAACGCGCTTCACCCACGGCGACAATCGTATGCGTCTGCCGCTGCGTGCGCGAAAGTGCACGATTGAGCAGCGTACACGCGTCACTCGCAGATCGGACAGCGGACGAGTATCAACGTGAAGAGCAGCGTATTTAACCCGATGAGTGGAATCACGATCGACGTCGGCGCGGATGATCTCGCACAGCCAGCAAGAAGAGACGGTGAGGCCTGCAGCAAGCATCGAGTAGTGCACAGCGTCACCTCTCGCCGCTGTCGACGAGCAAGTAGAAGATACGACGCGTGAGAAGGAGAATCGACACGGCAGCGTCATGATCAGATTTACGGTGTAGAAGAGCGTCTTGCGACGCATCTGCACGCTAGTAGGTGCCATGTCTGGGAATGGTTCGGGCAGCACGGGTAGTAGCGTTCGTGGCGCGCTTGCTGGCACGGCCAGGACCGTCCCATCTACACCGGCGATAGAAACTCCTGAAGATCGATGCCGTTTACTCCTTGTCCAACAAACCCTACCGTTATCGTGCGTGGCGGTGTATCTGAGGGTCCACCTGCAATGCAAGGACACGCGGGTTTCATTATACGAGCAAATTCGCAGCGCGAGTAATTGAATATTGTATGATTATGCATTATTATTGATTGATAGATATGATAGCATAGTGCGATAGAATAAGATAGAGTAGATGATAGATAAATGCATAGTAGTGATAGATAGAAGATAATAGATAGATAGATAGAAGTAGGAAGATAATAAATAGATAGATAGTAGATAGATAGATAGATAAAAAGATAATAGATAGATAGATAGATAGATAGATTTAGATAGATTGATAGATTAGATAGATAGATAGATAGATAGATAGATAGATAGATAGATAGATAGATAGATAGATAGATAGATAGGTAGTTAGGTAGGTAGATAGATAGATAGATTTATTGCGCAGTTGTAGTTTCGGTTGAAGATTGGTAGGCGATTAGAGTAATTAGTTAATTAATCGATGGTACTATAATTAGGTTAATTATGTAAGTTACGTTTGATTGGTTAATTATTTTGTACGTGTTAATTTTGTTATGTGTGTTTGATTATTTAGAATTTTGTGTAATTTTATCGATTTTTCGATTTTTTAATTCGATTAGTTTAATTATATTTAATTAGTTTGTTAACTATATTACGCAAATCTTTTAATCGTTTGCGTCTTGTTGATTCGTTGTGTTTACTCGTTCTCGCGCCATCCGATTGTTTACACAACTACGTATTAATGCACACGTGCGCTCATCTTCACGAGTATATTCGAATATTCCTAATCGAATATAATCATAATTGTAATTCGTAAAATCGTTCGGATTATTCAAGAAGCGGGCATACGTTTGGTACGGGATGTAAGATGACTGGTAAGTGATTAGTATAGATCACTTAATTATTGAATTAATTTTGTATTCGATTAATTATTAAAGGAAGATTAGGCGAGAATTGAATAATCAATTGATTTGTGATCACGTATACTCGGCATATTCATATACACGCGACATACGTTACATACAATAGTAGGGACAGATATTCATGCGCATGCGTCATGTAAATATACATTAATGTACGGAGTCAAATACACGGCGTTTCATAGTCAGAATCGCTGGAAAATCTGTCGATATTTAGCATTGACGCGAGTCCGCGTGACTGCCTGAATAATTCTATTGTGTCTATATTATATACGTAAATAAAACCTAAATTATGGAAAAAGAATTGAATACAATAACGCTGCTTTCAGTGTTGCGAAATCATATTCTGCAGGGAATATACAGCGTGCAATACATTAGTTTATGTCTTTCCGGCTATTACTGTTATTTGTTGCCATGTGCTGTTCTATAATTGCTTTCCATAGTTTGACGTCAGCCTGCGAACTTTCACATTTTACTACACGGTCTCTCTCTCTTTCTCTCTCTTTCTCTCTTCTCAATCGTACGCAGCAAGCTCTCTCTCTCCTCGGCGCTCATCTCTTCCACCCCCCCCCTCTTCATCTCTCATCGATCTCATCTCTCGGTCGTGCGCGATGCTCTCCTCTCTCTCCAGCTCTCTCTCTCTCTCTTTCATCTCTCTGTCGTCGCGCGCCGCTCTCTCTCTCTCTTTCTCATCTCTCCTCGCTCTCCTCTCCTCATCTTCTTCTCTCTCTCGTCTCCCCTCTGCTCTCTCTCTCTCTCTCTTATTATCCTCTCTCTCTGCTCTCCTCTCTCTATCCTTCTCTCTCTTTCTCTCTCATATCTCACCCTCTCCCATTTTTCTCTCCTCTCTCTCATCTCTCTCTCGTCTCTCATCCTCTCCTCTCTCTCCGCCACTACTCTCTCTCTTCGGTTGCAAGTAGGGAGTGACGCCAAACATTCAGATATTCTCTCCCTTATTAATAATACTACACGTATTATATTCATCGCAGTCTAATGGAATGATCATAATTATTACTTAATTCGAATTATTAAAGCTATAAACCAACCCCGTTCTGCGATGATCTGCAGATATACTCAACCGAAATCCATCGTACGTGCCACGAGCCGAATTTCATGTGCACGTTTGCTGTCAAACGGGAAGAACTTCGACGTCTTATCGTGCATGAAACTCATGTAGATCGCAGGAGGCTTCCACACGAACGTAGCCATACCGGGGTAACAAGCGCGGCATTTAGTCATTCAACGTCAAGCCTGTAATGGCCATCGGGGAGCAGTAGGTGTACTCTGAAAACATGTGAAGTAAACGTTGTAGTCAAGGTCACGGTTCAAAATTAACTGAGGGCAAATTTCAACAAAAGGAACTTTATAATTTATATATAATGCTGCGTGCACTCGAAAGAAATTGAGGCTATGCTAAATGTAATATTAAAGCTTGATGCTCACTAACACTATATATACGATATAATATATATATATAAATATATCTAATCGTATCTTATCTATATAATATATATAATATATATATATAAGATAAGTATATATATATATATATATAATATATAATGATCACGCACGACCATAAACAAGAAAGGAGAATTGCGTGCGCACGAACGCTCTCGTCGCACACGCACAAACAGACAAGTAGGACAGGTCAGGCCAACGCAGGCAGGCACTTAGGCAAGGCAGGCAGGACCAGGCAGGAAGGACAGGCAGCAGGCAGGCAGCAGACACGCAAGGCAAGAGTTACTCGGTCAGTCAGTCAGGTAGCGCCGGGAGGCAGACAGGCAGGTCGACAGTAAACAGGCAGGCAAGGCAAACATATCAATCAGGCAGGCACATCTGCCACATTCTACACAAGATGAATGACTCCGTCAAGTGACTATTGATGATATACGAGGGTAATAGTAGCAACCTGCACACTAGACAGTATAAAAGCTCTGCAATATTTCCAATAACGGCAGTGCGCGAGATGCGATACAGTGCAGGGCTTACTTGTATAGGAGTACTATGTCCGCAAGCCATTATTATGACTGCGAGGGCACGTAGAGAGCATTAACGCCGCCATATTGCGTCGCGTCCCACGCCAACTTGTAGTCGTACCATTATCTGCAAAAGAAATCCGTTAAGTAGGGTTGACATCTCTTAGCGCCTCGACGAATTTCCCCGGGGACAATCTCGAATAATGAGGAGGTATAGAGGGTGCTATTACCAACGACCGAATAAACATAAATGATATATATATATTATTTATATATATATTATGTTGGTGTGTGTGTGTGTGTGTGTGTGTGTGTGTGTGTGCTGTGTGTGGTAGTGTGTGTGTGTGTGTGTGTGTGTGTTGTGTGTTGTGTGTAGCGTGCGGAGATGTGTATGGTGTTGCTGTGTGTGTGTGGTGTGTGTGTTGTGTGTTGGTGCCGGCGCGCGTGAGTGTGCTATGTGTGCGTCTGCGTGTATATATATATATACATATATATATTATATATACAACAGACACTCTGGTGCGGAACATTTCGCCCGTGATTGACAGCCACACGTAAAGTAAACAACAGCAC